CTGCAAAAAAAAAAAAAAAAAAATATATATATATATATATATATATATATATATTTATGTACATGTACATATATGATTTGTCATTAAGTATCTGTTCTCTAGTCCTTTTGTGCCTGTGCTTAGCAGCTGCTTTTCTATTTGGCCTTTTCAGCATAACTCACATTTTTATGTTCCATCGTGTTTTTGGCTTACAAGCATTGTAGGGATCTTCAGTATGTATTTCTCAAACTTGAATTTTTATTTTTTATTTTTATTTTTTTTTAAAAGATGACTGGTAAGGGGATCTTAACCCTTAGCTTGGTGTTGTTAGCACCACGCTTAGCCACTGAGCGAACCTGCCATCCCTATATAGGATCTGAACCCATGGCCTTGGTGTTATCAGTACGTCACTCTCCTGAGTGAGCCATGGGCCGGCCCTTCAAACTTGAATTTTTAAGTACCATATTGTAACTATAAGAAATTTAGAATGCTGCAGCAAAGAGATATAGAGAAGATTTATTGTCTATCATGTAGGAAGAAATTTATTTTTATCATGGGAGTAATACACTACAAAGTAAGCTAAGGTCATAGTGGGGTTGCATCACAATCGCTTACATCACATCTCTTTCCTGGTCATCCACATGCTTCCACAACTGCCTAAGTGCTAACATTTATTGAGTTGTGCTGGTGTTAAGAATTTTTCCTTATATTTTCTCATTTAATCTATATGCCAACTCTCTGAGAAAGGTGCTGTTATTACCTCCATTTTACAGACAAGGGCAGTGAATCTTGAGGAAGTTTAAATGACTTGCTCAGGGAAGCTTCCAAGTGACTGAGACCACACTTGACACCAAGCCAGACTTATATCCAGAGGATTGCTATTAGTCACTCTGATAGACCATCTCATTAGTTACTCATCATTGAGTACAGAAGACTATATCTATATAAATATGTAAGCATATATATATATTTTTTTTTTGGCAGCTGGCTGGTCCAGGGATCTGAACTCTTGACCTTGGTGTTACAACACTGTTCTAACCAACCGAGCTAACTGGCCAGCTCCCTTGTATTGGTATTTTTTAATACCCAACCTCCTCCTATTCACCATTTCTTCCTCCACTTGATAAGGGCCTTTCTACCTGTCTACCACTTTCTCAGGGCATGCAAATTCGTGTTCCTATACCTGAGTGCTCTTTTCTCTCTCTGTTTGAAAAGGAATATGTATGTATAAGTACAGTAGTCCCCCCTTATCCACAGCTTCACTTTCCATGATTTCAGTTACCCACAGTCTCTGAAAATATTACAGTATTTTGAGAGAGACCGCACTCACGTAACTTTGATTACAGTATATTGTTATAATTGTTCTGTTTTATTATTATTTATTGTTAATCTCATACTGTGCCTAATTTATAAATTAAAGTTTATCATAAGTATGTATATATAGGAAAAAATATAGTATATGTAAGGTTTGGAACTATTTGTGGTTTCGGGCATCCACTGGGGTCCTGGAGTATATCTCCATAGATAAAGGAGGCATACTCTGTTAGATTTTCTGTCTATCTTAGCTATCAACCAACCTACCATCTACAACCTGTGAAACCTTTGTATAGGTTAATGGTATACCTTTATACCATTTTGGTGAGTAATTGGCTTAATGGGTTGCTTCTTTGTACCTCTTCATATTTACACATGAGTGTATATGAAGATGAATACTATGGGTTTATTTTTTACTGGTTCAGATAAAGAGAGGATAACCTGGACACGCCATCACCCAGCTCTCTTTCTTCTTTATTAACTGATCTCAGGTAACAATGGATTCTTCAGAACTTATGGGAATTGGATAAAGGGCATAAAGAATAAGTATAATATGTAAAAATGAATATGCTAATGAAAAAATAAAAAAAAACTTATAGGAAACAGGAAACATCCTTCTAGGTAAAATGTTTCAGAAAATGGATACTCAGAAATTTTTTGTCCATCCATCTTATGTGATCATTAAAAAATCCACTTCTTGATAAATTAACTCTATTAACCAAGTAAATCACTTTGTAACTCTTTCATAATATGAGAAATATGAGAATTTAACCATTCTGAATTATATATCATAGTCACTAGATCAGTGATTCTCACCCTTTAGTGTGCCTAAGAATCATCTGGAATGCTTGCTAGTAATGCAGATTACTGGGCTTTATTCATCTTCAGGGATTCTGGTTCAGTAGAAATGAAAAGGGGCCCAAAATCTTCATTTTAACATGGTCCCAGATGATCTTGATGCAAATTGCCCTTAGATCTTGCTGAGAAACCCAACCAACAATCATGAAAATCTGCTTGTTTTTTTGCCTCAATTTGCTGTTTATTCGTACTCCTAGGGAATCTCTCAGACCCAGTATTGGGCGGGTCTGATCTCTCTTGAGCGGGTCTGATCTCTCTTGGGCATTCCTCTGATGGGTGTTTCTGGGGTGTCTGTTTGCCTTGTCAATGTCCTCAAGACTTGCAGTTAGAACAGTTCATGAACTAATTCATTTAAATTCAGTGAACTGAGTAATCGTCACTTAATCTAATTGCTGAGACAGGAAATTCTTCTCTTTATTTTCTCTTAATCCCAACTAACACTGAATCTTCTGTTTTTTTCTCACTTGATTGTTTGGTTCAATGAGAATTTTTTTTTTTTTTTTTTTTTTTTTAAAAGATGACCGGTAAGGGGCCTTGGTGTTATCAGCACCGCACTCTACCGAGTGAGCCACGGGCCGGCCCAATGAGAATTTTTTGAACTGGAACTTAATATATGTGTAGCTGCAGGGAGCCCCACTACCTAAGACACATTTTGGGGAAATTTAGTGATTCTCATCATAATAAAATAAAATGCTTGCCAGTAATTCCTACCTTTAGAGAGTAAAAAGCTTTTAATTGTTTTAGCTTTTCCAAATACGGAATGGTAAGGATCACACGCTCAGGGTAGAGACTTGCTGCCACTAGAACTTGAGCCTAGTCACACTCTGTTTAACACTTACCAGGTAATTTGAACCTTCAAGGAACCCTTGCTCTGTACCTCTTACTAGTCATTTCTCTTTTTTCAGAGCAGCCTTCCTTAATTTTCATTATCTAGACTTAGGGTATATGAAAGAAGAGGAGAAAAAAACCTAGGACAGGTATCTGCACCCACCAACTTCTGATATCAACTTCCATCAACATACAGGCTTAGTGCTGCCCAGATATTACCCTACCGGCCTTACCAAGACTAGACTCCCACCTCGTCTGCCTTGCAGGTAGAAAAGATAGTCAATAATCAGGAAAATTTAATTCGTAAAATATTTTGTGTGTGTGTGTGTGTGTGTGTGTATTTATTTATTTATTTTTAGCTCCCACAAATAAGTGAGAAGATGTGGTATTTCTCTTTCTGTGCCTGACTCGTTTCACTTAATATAATTCTGTCTAGGTCCATCCATGTTGTTGCAAATGGGAGTATTTCATTCGTTTTTGTAGCTGAGTAGTATTCCATTGTGTAGATATACCACATTTTCCGTATCCACTCATCCGATGATGGACATTTGGGCTGATTCCAGCTCTTGGCTATTGTGAAGAGTGCTGCAATGAACATTGGGAAACAAGTATACCTTCGACTTGATGATTTCCATTCCTTTGGATATATTCCCAGCAGTGGGATAGCTGGGTCGTATGGTAGATCTATCTTCAGCTGTTTGAGGAACCTCCAAACCATTTTCCATACTTTTTAAAGTATTTATTTTTTGGCAGCAGGCTGGTATGGTCATCTAATAAAAGGACTTTTAAAATTAACAAAACTCCGGGCCAGCCCGTGGCTCACTCGGGAGAGTGCAGTGCTGATAACACCAAGGCCCCGGGTTCGGATCCCATATCGGGATGGCCGGTTTGCTCACTGGGTGAGCGTGGTGCTGACAACACCAAGTCAAGTGTTAAGATCCCCTTACCGGTCATCCCTTAAAAAAAAAAAAAATTAACAAAACTCCTTTAAACATTAATCAATCCAACTAGCTTTTAGTACTTATTTAAAGTATATTCTTCATACTAACCAGTTAGGGACAATAATAGGGTAATCTTGGGACTAGAGAGTAGGTCCTTTATATTACTTATCACTGTACAAAACACGATGTATTTGAAAGAAAATGAGCCAAAACGCCAGGTACTGTTCAGGGTTAATTAAAGGAGGAAAACCTGCCGAGCTGCACTCAAAATGGTGGGGGCAGGCAGCTAGGAGTGTATACGCTCATATGGGTTGGTTGGCGCAAAAAACACAGGCGGGGAGGAGGAGGGAGTGCTGGTGTGTGGGATCAGGTTAACTATTGGTGCAGGTGTGGTGGGTAGGGGTGATGTAGTCAAGATGGGAGATACCTCTAGGCGGGAGGGGAAGGGTCTTTTGTCCGGGAAACCACGAGGTAGAGGTTTTTCCTTGTTTGAAGAAACCATGAGGTAGGGTAAAAGACTGGTGGCCATTTTGTACTCAATATGGTGCCAGTTGTGTCCATGATGAGGTCAGTCATATTCAAGGTGATGTGACCGTGTCCAAGATGGCGCCGGCCACGTCCAAGATCTGTCAGTATTATATATATAATGGGTTCCCCAAACATATCTATATCACTAACCTAGACATCCCCAGTATTTTATATCCAGTTGCTCACTGTGTTTTTCTCAAGATGTCCAAGTTACCAAATGAACTTGTCCAAAACTGAACTCCTAATCCTTTCCCCTAAACTTTCTTTCCTTAAGAGAAAGTCTTTCCCATTTCAGTTGATGGTAATTCCATCCTTCCAGTTGCTCAGGACAATCACTTTGGAATCATACCATGCACCTCTCTCTCTCAAGAACATCAAACTGATCAAAAAATAATTTCAGCAATGCCTTCAAAAGATATCCAAAATCCAACCACTTCTGGGGCCCGGCCTGTGGCTCACTCGGGAGAGTGCGGTGCTGATAACACCAAGGCCACGGGTTCGGATCCCATATAGGGATGGCCGGTTACCTCACTGGGTGAGCATGGTGCTGACAACACCAAGTCAAGGGTTGAGATCCCCTTACTGGTCATCTTTAAAAAAAAAAACAAAACAACAAAAAAACAAAATCCAACTACCTCATGCCACCTCCATGGCCACCATTCTAATTCAAGCTATTGTCCTTGCACTTGAATGATTACAATAGCCTATTAACTAGTTTCCCTGCTTCTGCCCTTGCCCCACTTCAGTTTATTCTCAGCACAGCAGCCAGAGTTATCCTTCCAACCCAAACCCACCTCTCTGACCTCATCTCCTAGACTCTCCTCCTTGCTTACTATGATAGGACCACACACTTGCTGTTACTTGAATACTCCAAACTTGCTCCTGGCTGAAAACCTTTGCATTTGCTCTTTCCTCTTCCTGGAATGCATTTCTCTCAGATATCCTAAAGGCTTTCTTCCTCACTTCCTTTAGGTCTTTACTCAAATGTCACCTACTTGGTGAAGGCTTTTCCAACCACCATATTTAAAGTTGCAAACAGTAGCCCCCACCCTCATACAATCCCTCCCAAACCCTACTCCTTGTTTTAGTTTCTGTTATAGTTCTTATTTTCATCTGATGCATTGTATTTTTACTTATTACATGATTTATTAGAATTTGAGCTTTATACAAGAAGGGACTTGTGTCTATTTTGTACACTCCTGTATACAAGTGCCTGTATATAGCACTTAGAATGGTGTCTGGAATATAGTATGTACTCAATAAATAGTTTCAAGATAAATGAATAGAGAGCTGTATGGTTATCTTATTCCAAAAGAAGCTTGGAGATTGCAAAATTCTGTAAGTTATCCAAGTTCTTTACAACCTACATTGGTGATTCTAATACCAGGAAGACAATTCAATATGACCTAAATGTTTATTCATTCATTGAGTGTTTTAACAAACATATGTTGTTAGTTAATCCATCAATAGCTATTTATATTGTGCCTACTAAGAGCCAAGTGCTTGTTTGGTACTGAGGAAGCAAAGATAAAGTCCTGCCCTTGAAGAGCTTGATGGTCCACTGGGAAGCAGATAAATAGCAGAAAATTATAGTATAATGAGAAGTGCTATGATTGTGTAGGAAATAATGAGGGAATAGCATAGGGCACAGAATGCCCTTGGGGTGGAGAAGAGTCAGGGATGGCTAGTTGAAGTGTGGATACTCAAGTTGATTCTTGAAGAACTAGTAAAAAATGGCCAGATGAATGATTGTATGAATGAATGTTGGCGAGACAGGATGGGATGGGACCAGAATGACCCCAAGGATCGAGAGGACTGCAGGGAAGAAAGTAGACATGGGCACAAACAGAGATTGTAGTTGTTGGAATAGAGGGAGGAAGGAGAGGGACAAACAGAATTTGAGGACATTCCTGGCTGCTACCTTATCTTTTTCTGTGAAGTAGGGATAGTGTTCATCTGCAGTGAGTGAGGGGGTAACCATTTGAGAGCATTAAAATACAGTGAACTCTTGGTTGATTATTTTGTGGGTATTGTTTCAAAACCTTAGCTAATGACTTCCATAAAGTTAATGTGTTTTTATATCAAATTTTTATTTGAAATAACCTTTCATGAAAAATGAATATTGCATAAATCTCTTTAACCGCTTTTGTCTAGTCCACAGTGGAAGGGTTATATTTTATTTTAGAACACATGTAAAACAGTTGACGGGACTTTGTTTTCCAGGTTCCTACTATAATGTTATCCGGGTTCCTCCAGAGAAGATGAATGTTGGGGAGACAATCAGTGGGGCCCAGGTGATATGTTCTATTGCTTCTGCAGAGAGGAGGAAGCCTTCTTACTATCATAGCTTTGGTAAGTCCACAGATAAGGCCCTGCCTTAATATTGTAGCAGAAGGAGTAGTTTTGGCAATTGCTATGTCAATAATTTGTCAGAGTATGGTCATAATGAGACCAAGGTTGCATTTTAATGCCAGTTAAGTTTATTCTGTTTAGTCATGTACTCCTTACCCTAACCAGCTGACCACTTGAAAAGATATAATTGCTTTAGGACAAGCAATTACTGAAAAATTAACTGGCAGAATTAAAAATTTTAGGTGACTTTAAAGCCCATAAATAATAATCACACATGAAGTGGTCTTGACTATATTTTTTGAGGGAAATTCATATTCTATATATATATGGCCTCAGCTTTTACTCAGAATATTTATTTTCTGTGTTCTAAGCCATTATAGCCAGACTGATCCTGGATCCTTACTCCTAGAAGAAATAGGAAAAGGATTAAGGAATAAATGTACAGATCAGAAGTGACACTTTAATAGTATGATTCTTTACTTTGTTCCTAAACCAAAACAATTTAAAAAGCAAAGAAAAATTTAAAAAAAGCAAGCGAGGACATTCAACCCAAACTATTCTAAGTAGTTCCTCTTTTGATGTAGGAACAGGAAATATGTATAACAAAGCTGGGAAACAGTAAAGAAATATGTCTGGCTGGCATTTGTTTAAGTCAGCATTAATATGTTCAAGTGTTCAGACAAGTCCTGTCACATTTAAGACAACTCTAGTTTGCCAAATAACATTTAATGTTTGCTGGAACCTTTTAGGAATGACAAGGAACTACATAATCTTCATTGAACAACCTATAAAGATGAATCTGTGGAAAATTTTCACTTCTAAAATTCGGGGAAAGGCCTTTTCAGATGGAATAAGCTGGGAACCCCAGTGTAATACGCGGTTTCATGTGATGGATAAACACACTGGACAGGTGGAGTATTTTGAGAATATTTATCATGAAAATGGTTGGACATGAAGGCAAATCTCTATCTGGCTGATTTTGACCTTCATTGGGCATTACTTGCATAAGACACTCTTTCTTTCTTTCTTTCTTTTTTTTTTTCTTCTTCATAAGGCACTCTTAATCAAGGATATTACCTTCTTCCGTAGGTTGGGCTAGCTATTTACTAATTTGCACAGTGGATTTTGCATATTACAGAATTATAGGAAATGATTTTATCCTTTTAATTATCGGATTCAATTAAAATGGCATATGGGAAACCCTCTTAGCATGGGTTTTTCCATATCATAATAGTTGCTAGAAAAGGTATTGTTCACACAGAGATCTTCTGTAACTTTTGCATTGATTCTTTATTTAGCTGCTTCTATGACTTCCTGATATGGGAATATGATAATCCTATCAGAGTCAAGCATGTTGGTTGAATACCTTTTTATACTCCTGATTAATAACACTACTATGTCTACTTTTCACCTCTCTAAAGAGAGAGTATCCTAAATTTAACCTATCGGAATTTCACTACAAAAATAACATTTTAGTAATGAGTACACTTTTCAATGAGTTAGTCACTTAATTTATCATAAGCATATTAAGCAGCAGTATTTTCTATTTAACCATGCAGTTAAAATCCAGGATTTATTTATTCTTCAAAACTTTGGACCATATTTCATGAGGACTTTTAAGTTAGTTGTAATAGTTGGTTGTTCTATATCAAATAGCCCTAATTCATTGATTAATATGAGATGACTTAAGCAAGGATGCTTAAATCAAAGCGTATTTGCTTCTACGGTCTAGATTCTACTTTTTTTTATACCTACTGGGCCAGCCACTTAAAGGGGGAGAATCTTCTTAATTTTCTTAATTTGAGCTTTGTGGATCTGTTTTCTAAAGGAAAAAATAAAAGAAAATGTCTCTTTTTCATTGTTTGTGTTTTGCCCAGCAGCTTCTTCCAGGGATGTATTACAGCAAACCTTTTGTTACTTTTCATCAAATCAATGCCTTTGAGGATCAGGGCAGCGTTGTAATTGATTTGTGCTGTCAAGATAATGGAAGAAGCCTAGACATTTACCAACTACAGAATCTCAGAAAAGCCGGCAAAGGTCTTGATCAGGTAAACATTTTTGATTTGTCAGGAATTGTCAAAATCATTTGGAACTAGCCAGGATCTGGCTTTCACTTTGAAATTACCTGTTTCTCTTGCCCTCTTGTGGCAAATATGGAGAGAGAGTAGTTTTAAAGTATTGAAAACACAGCTTCATCATTTATTTATTTAATATTAAAAAATAATTTGAAGTGGCTTACCTAATACTTAATAAATAAAAAGCATGGCAAAGACAACTAAGGTAGGTGTTTTGAAGAATTGTGATTAGTTCCTTTTACATTTAAGTACTAAATATACTTAAGTTTCCTGGAAGGGATAGCAAAATGGACTATAAGCCTATCAGTGAATTTAGCTGAAGAGATTCACTTTTTACTGATACTGAATACAAGGTAAAAAAATTTTCCTTGAATTATGTAATGTAGATCATCTTCAGCTATAGTTTTATTTTTCAGCTGTAGTTTTATTTATTTTTATTTTTTATTTATTTTTATTTTTTTTTAAACATGACCGGTAAGGGGATCTTAACCCTTGACTTGGTGTTGTCAGCACCACGCTCAGCCAGTGAGCGAACCGGCCATCCCTATGTGGGATCCGAACCCGGGGCCTTGGTGTTATCAGCATCGCACTCTCCCGAGTGAGCCACGGGCCGGCCCGTGTAGTTTTATTTTTAAATATTAAAAAAACATTACTTATTACATTTACTAATACTTACTAAGATTACTTATTATATAACTTTATGGTAGGTCTTGATATCTGTAGTGTAAGTCTTTAGCTTTTTTTTTTTAAGATTGCCTGGGTTTTTCTAGGCTTTTTGCATTTCCATAAATTTTAGATTCAATTTGTCAGTTTTTACAAAGAAAAAAAAACCTGATTGGGACCATATGGCAACTATGATCAATTTGGGGATAACTGACATCTTACAGTATTGAGTCTTTCAATCCATGAATATGGACTATTTTTCCATTTATTTGAGTCTTCTTTAATTTCTCTCAGTAATGTTACAGTTTTCAGTGTAAGGATATTACATATGTTTTGCTAAATTCATTCCTAGGCATTTTGTGTGTTTTGAAATTACCGTAAATGGTATCTTTTTTTTCTTTTTTCTTTTTTTTTTTTTGTGGCTGGCTGGTACAGAAATTGAACCACTCTTGTGGTATTATCAGCATCATGCACTAACCAACCGAGCTAACCAGCCAGCCCTCCAGTTTTTTTGTCATTGATTAGTAGCTTAATTTTACTGTTTGATTTTAATCTTTTGAAATTTATTGAGATTTGCTCTGTAGCCTCTCATAAGGTCATTTTTTTAGTGTTCCATGTGTATCTTAAAAGAATCATATTCTGCATTTTGGATGTAGTGTTTCATATATGTCAATCATGTCATATTTGTTAATAATATTGTTCAGATATTCTCTGTCCTTATTGATCTCTGTGTGTTTGCTATATCAATTATTGAAAGCTATATTAAAGTACCTTACTTAGAGTATGGATTTTTCTATTTCTCTATCTAGTTCTGCTAATTTTTGTTTTACCTGTTTGGTGCTCTGTTATTATGTGCATACAAATTTAAAATTGTTTTATCTTTTTTTAATTTGTTTTGCCTTTCTAGTTTATTGAACATTCATCTCTGAGTAATGTTTTTTGCCTTAAAGTCTACTTTTTGCTTACTGTTTGCATGCTATAACTTTTCTATCCTTTTACTTTCAATCCTTCTAAATATGTATTTTGTAAGCAGCATGTATTCCAAAAATGCATTGTGCTAATCCCTGACTTTTTTTTTTTTTTTGTCCTTTCTGAGACCGGCCACACCGCGCTCAGCCAGTGAGCGCTGCGAGCGCACCGGTCATCCCTATATAGGATCCGAACCCGCGGCGGGGAGTGCTGCTGCGCTCCCAGCACCGCACTCTCCTGAGTGCACCACAGGCTCGGCCCTGATCCCTGACTTTTAATTGGAGCATTTAGTTGAATCAGTCACTAATATACTGGGGTTTAAATATGCTATCTTATTTGCTTCCTATGTGTCACTAGTTCTTTTCCTCTCTCCTTTCTTACCTTCTCTGGATTGGCTGAGTATATTTTATTTCATTTCCACCTCCCTTCCCCCAAACCTCACCCTCTTCCCATTAGCTTGGTAGTTATACATTCTTTTATTACTCTTCTAGAAGTTATTTTAGAGATTTCAATATGCACTCTTGATTTATCAAAATATATTATAAATTGGTCCTTACTTCTTTCCAGACATGCAAGGACTCTGCAACACTAACTTCACTTATTCTACTCCTGATTTATATGCTACTCTTCTTGTATATATTAATTTTCTTTCTCTATTAGACTCTACAAGGCATTATTATTATTGTTGCTTTCCCCATATATATACTTTGTTTGTTGCTCTTAATTTCTTCCAGCATCTCTGAGCTTTCCGTCTGGAAGCATTTTCCTCTGACTGAAGAATATCCTTTAATATTTCCTTTAGTTCAGATATGCTGGTGATGAAATCTCTGTTTGTCAGAAAAATATTTTTATTTTACCTTACTTATTGGAAGGCTGTTTTTATTGGATAAAGAATTCTGTGTTTCTAATTATTTTAGTAAAAGGTGAAAGATTTATTTGATCTGAAAAGAAACCAGAGTATTAGTTTAATTATTTTCTTTTGATACTTTAAAAATATCATTTTATTGTTTTCTGGTTTCTGTTGAGAAATCAATTGTTCATCTAGTCTTTGCTCCTTTGAAGTTGATTATTTTCCCTCTCTGTTTTTAAGATTTTCTCATTGGATTATGATATTTTAATATGCTTTTCTTTTAATTCATTTTACTTGGGGTTTTTAGGGATTCTGGAATCTGTGGTTTGATATCTTTCATTAGTTTTGAAAAATTTCACCCATTATTTCTTCAAATTTTGCTTCTGCTAAATCCTTTCTCTCCTTTTTATTCTGGAACTGCAGTACATGTTACCCCCTTTTCACTCTATCCCTTTGTTCTTTTTAGTATTTCCCATTCTTTTCTTTCTCTAAGCATGGTTTCCTTGGATATTTTTTTCTTATCTATCTTACTGTTCAAACAGTTTCTCTTCAGCTGTGTCTCTTCTGCTGTTAAACCTAATCAAATTAATTGCTGCTTTCAGTTCTAGAATTTTGATTTGATTCTCTTTTACAATTTATAATTCTCTGCTACAATTCTCAATTTGAAAGAGTTTCCTCAAATGTATTCAGAATAGTTAAAGTCTGATAACTTTATTATCTGGGGCCTCTGTGGCTCTTTTTCTATCATCTGTTGTTTATCTCGGCTTTTAATCATGTTCTCTTTTTTCATGTGCTGATTATTTTTCATATCCAGAATATTGTGTTTGAAAATCTATAGAAATATTTTGAGACCCAGGATGATGTTATACTCTTCTAGAGAAGTTTTTCATTTGTTTGTATAATTTGAAGCAGGATTCAGTCCCTGCAGGAGCTTGCCTATTTCTTGTTTACTTCGATTCTTAGGGTACAGACCTATGAAGTCTCAACCCAAAGGACTAGAGGTTTACTAGGCCTTCCTCTTTTTGGCAGAACCTGAAATCTAACTTTTGTCCCTCTAGTCCGTAAAAACTATCAAAATCTCTTCTCATTAAGGTTGAGGGGTAGGGAAGTTGGTGTGGCTACAACCTTATAAAAGTGTACATGAAGGATCTGTGTGGTGATGGAACTGTTCCATATCTTGAGTGTGGTGGTGGTCACATGAATTCACACATGATGAAATAGCATAGAACTAAAACACACACACACACACACACACACACACACACACACACACACACAGCGAATGCATGTTTAACTGGCGAAACCTGAATTAGTTTGGTGAATTGTATCAATGTAAGTTTTCCAGTTGTGATATTGTATTATAGTTATGCAAAATGTTATCACTGGTGAAACTGGGTGGGATCTCTCCATATTCTTTCACTTTTTTTTCATGGTAAAATATATGTAACATAAAATTTATCATTTTAAATGTTTTTAGGTGTACAATTCAATGGCATTAAGTACATTTACAATGTTGTGCAACCATCACCACTATCCTTTTCCAGAATATTTTCATCATCTCAGAAATTTGTACCTATTAAATAATAGCTCCCTATGCTCCTCTCCCTCCAGTCCATGGTAACCTCTATTTTACTTTCTGTTTCTATGAATTTGCCTATTCTGGTACTTCATATAATATTTGTTCTTTTGTGTCTAACTTATTTAACTTAGCATAATGTTTTTAAGTTTCATCCATATTGTAGCATCTGTCAGAATTTCATTCCTTTTAAAGATCGAATAATATTCCATTTTAAGTGTGTAGTACATTTTATCTATTCACTTGTTGATAAATATTTGGGTTTTCCCTACCTTTTGGCTATTACAAGTAATGCTGCTATGAACATTGGCATACAAATGTCTGTTTGAGTTTCTCTTTTCAATTCTTTTTGGTATATACTTAGAAGTGGAGTTGCTAGATCATGTAATTATTCTTTGTCTGGCTTTTTAAGGAACTGCTGAACTGTTTTCCACAGTAGCCACACCGTTTTATTCCCACCAGGGATGCACAGAAATCCAGTTTCTTCACATTACTACCAATATTTGTTATTTTCCATTTTTTTCTTTAAAGTTTTATTTATTTTTTTTAATAATAGCCATCCTAGTGGGTATGAAGTGGTATCTCATTTGTATGGTTTTGATTTGTATTTCTGTAATAACTAATGTTGTTGAGCATCTCTTTAGGGCCTTGGGAGAAAGTTGCTTCCAATATCTAGTTCATCTCTGTGGGTTTCCTTTTCCTCTCAAATCTTGTCCCCAGTATTCTTCACTGCCTTTTTAGCTCACTGATGCCTTCAAACAGCTGTTTTAAACATTTTGTCCAGCTTCTCTTGCTGTTCTCAATGGATAGTTGCTCCACATTACCTAATCCATCATTAGTGGAAGTCTGTTTTTGTTTCGCTACGATTTTGTAAAAGAAAAAAAAAGGTTTAAATATAATTAAAATTACTTTAAAAAAGCTCTTTATGGAACTTAAGCATAGCACTAAATCTTTACTGAGTAGAAACATTTTACTGGGTAAAAACATATTATCTCCATGAGATGAATGAATGGAAATGATCATTTACATAAGTAGGAATGCCAATAATGTCGACTGGATATAAATTATTGGGACATGCTATTATCCTGTGAATGACAATTTTTTCATTTGTTTCTTTCTCTCTCCTGAACAGGTCTATAATTCATTAGCCAGATCTTTCCCTCGAAGATTTGTTTTGCCCTTAAATGTCAGCTTGAATACGCCTGAGGGAGAGAACCTCAGTCCATTGTCCTATTCTTCAGCCAGTGCTGTGAAACAGGCTGATGGGAAGGTATGTCATGAATGGACATTAGACTAAGACTTTGAACTTTAGTGGTATTACTTGATTCGTGGGCTGTTCTCCAGAATGTTGGATGCCCCATAGGTTTGTAACATTCAGCTGAGCAGAGTAAGAGTAATGGAACCTTGCTTGTGTAAGAATTGCAGAAAATGGGTGGAAATGACCACTGTGTTTACTATCCCTTTTGTGTTTTCAAACAGACATATGCAACTTTCTAATAGTCGTGGAATGTTCTAGGCATTTGAGATTGGCCTTGACTGTCTCACCTTTTAGATAATTTGTACTTACCACAGGCATATCATTGTGCAGCTATCAACATCTTAGCTTTAGTAGAATTAAAAAGCCCACTTCCACCTCCTATGCCATTTGACAGCTTATTCACAATATCTGATAATCTTTATGCATTCATATACATGATGGAAAGAGAAACAACATAAAAAATATGTAACCTCAGTTTCTAAGTCTTGTCACAAGCTCTTATAGGGTATTATCCCCCTCACTGACCTACATTGAAGAAAATAAATGAGAATTAAGCATCCATTACAAATTCTTTTGGGACCTCTTTTAGATCTGGTGCTCTCATGAAAATCTACATCACGAGGATCTAGAGGAGGAAGGAGGCATTGAATTTCCCCAGATCAACTATAGCCAATTCAGTGGCAAGAAGTATAATTTCTTCTATGGCTGTGGCTTTCGGCATTTGGTGGGAGATTCTCTGATCAAGGTTGATGTGGTGAACAAGACACTGAAGGTGACAAAAATCTCTTTTCTGAACTTTTCAAAGACCTATTATGCCTTTTGAATTAGTTTCTTTAATATTTAAGTAGTTCAGTCAGTTTCTTTTATTAAGTTTGAGGTATCTTGCCTCTAAGGAATCTAAATGAACCCCAAGCCCAGAAAAATAATTCTGTGCTTGATTTTGATGTCATTTTGGAAGAAACCATGGAGTTAAGGTTGTTGGGACACCCATTGTTTTAGTCGGTTTCTGTTGCTTACAACAAAATACCTGGAACTGGGTATTTTATAAAGAAAATGAAATTTATTGCTTACAGTTTCTGAGGCTGGGAAGTCCAAAGTCCATCTGGTGGTGGTGACAGTGACCCAGGGGTCTCACATTGCAAGATGGTGGGAGCAGAGAGAGAGAAAGACAGACTCTTCTCTTCTTTTAAAACCCTCAGAACCATGCCCCTGACCACCACTTTTAATCCATTCACTACTGCAGGGTCCTACAATCCAATCACCTCTTCAAGGCCCCACCTTTCAATTACCCTAACATGATTTCTCACCCTCTTAACAGTCACAGTAGGGGCTAAGTTTCTAATACATAAAACTTGGAGAACACAATTCAAGCTTCAGTAAGTTTTGGGGGGATGTAATTAAATCAGTATAGCCATATTTCACATAGATGGGAAATTCTAATCAATCAAATTGTGTTTGATGGTAATGGAATCTAGGACTGCAAAAGCTTCCTCTCTATATGTATTCAATGCAGTAAGACTGATTCTTTTTTTTTTTTTTTTTAAAAGATGACCGGTAAGGGGATCTTAACCCTTGATTTGGTGTTGTCAGCACCACGCTCAGCCAGTGAGCGAACCGGCCATCCCTATATGGGATCCGAACCCGGGGCCTTGGTGTTATCAGCACCGCACTCTCCCGAGTGAGCCACCGGGCCGGCCCAGTAAGACTGATTCTTTTTTTTTTTTTTTAAAAGATGACCGGTAAGGGGATCTTAACCCTTGATTTGGTGTTGTCAGCACCACGCTCAGCCAGTGAGCGAACCGGCCATCCCTATATGGGATCCGAACCCGGGGCCTTGGTGTTATCAGCACCGCACTCTCCCGAGTGAGCCACCGGGCCGGCCCAGTAAGACTGATTCTTGCTGTTGCAATATTCACGCTGAGAGTAGCACAAGCTATAGAAAGCTTCCCAATCACAACTGGCCTTTTACCAAATATTTTTTTTTTTGGGACTTGCAGGTTTGGAGAGAAGATGGCTTTTATCCCTCAGAACCTATTTTTGTTTCAGTACCAGGAGTCAATGAAGAAGATGGTGGGGTTATTCTTTCTGTGGTGATCACCCCCAAGCAGGTAAATATACATCCCTGTCTTTAAAGAGAAAAGCAGCACTAAGCCATTTGGGGTTATATTTAGTGATGCTGTAGATAGTTTACTTTGATTCCAATATGGCACCTTTTCTCTTTTCTTCTTACTATCTACATACATTTTAATTACAATCCATATTTTATTATTGTTTTAAAGTTCTATTTGTAGGACCATAATAATAATTCACATATGCATTGGGATTTGTAATTTAGGGACTACTTTCATACATATTATCGTATTGAGTCATCAAAACAACTTTGTGGGACACAATTTTACACACGTGGAATTTGTACCTTGAAGAAGTTGAATAAGACTTGCAACAGATAGGATAGTGGCAAAGCCAGTATTTAAATCTAAGCCTTCTGACTTCTAGACTAATGTTCACACTACGGCCTGTGCTGCCAGTTTCAGTGAACTGTCCTCAAAGTCCAATGTCATAAGTTCTGGACTAGTGTCTTGATAATGTTGCTTACTATCTGATTTCTTGTCCAGGACAATCTTGTGGTAAATAGGTTCACTTTGAGTACCAGGTTTGATCAACTGTTAGTGGCTTCCTGGGGTGTAGGATTCTAAGGTCTTTTAAGGGTTTAGGGGGAAAAGTGCTGTGATTAATTAGTGATGTCTGCCATGGGCTTAAGAGGACTTAATCCTCATGCCATGCACTTGTTATTCCTGTAATTAGATCAGGGAAAATCTCAGTCTCCCTTTCAATGCTGCCCTTTGAATAGCTCCAACATAACACAAAATAGAGGTGTTTCTAATTTGGAAGAAAGAGATTCTATGTCTCTTAGGAGATTAGAAAGGGGCAAGTAAAAAGATCATTAAACTCAAAGAGATCCTTTGAAGGTGATTGATATAAACAACTTAATTTCTTTGCTCTAGGCATGAAATTCTTCGGCCATAATTTCCTTTTCAGTCCAGCTCAAGAATTCAGCAGTGAGTAGATAGGCGAGGCACTGTGCTAGTGCTGGGGATAGACATGAAGATGAATAAGACATGGTCTCTCTGTTAGAAATTTTAAAGCCCAGTGGAGAAGACAGACAGATTTTTGATGAAAAAAAGAGGAAATTTTCAGTGTTGTCTTTCCTTTTCTAGAATGAAAACAATTTTCTCCTAGTCTTGGATGCCAAGAACTTTGAAGAACTGGGCCGAGCAGAAGTACCTGTGCAAATGCCTTATGGGTTCCATGGCACCTTTGTACCCATCTGATGGGACAACCACAAGGTCTGGGAACTAGGTTTAAAACGAGTGTGCTCTGTACAAAAGAGAGAGCAAAAAGGGCACACCACCTCTCAAACCATAGACGTTTGGTTTTTAAATTTCTATTAAAAACAGAATTCATGAGATAATTATGGTTTTATATTTTCTTAGCATTTTTCCTTGAAATCATTAAGCTAGTGTTAATACAATCTTTTGAAGAGAGTTTCAAATTTACATTAATTGCATATATCTTCCCCTAGGTAATGATAAGAATATGAAACTGAGTCATTACCACCATCAGATAGGTGGGTGACAGAGGTCCTGGGAGAAGAAATACAAATAATCATAGAAAATGGACTTTGAATATAGATCTGAAAAGCACCTTGTTCTTTCCATCACACTCTGCCTGTTACTGTTGGTCCGATGGTACTCAGAAGACAGGAAGTCTGCTGTATCATGCTTGGAGGCTTCTTCTAAACTGGCTGTTTCTCTGACATCCACAGCAGATGCTGTTGCAGTTGCACAACCCTCCTGTGGACTATCTGCTACCACCCCCCAGCCCACCCCCAGCTTAGCCTTGGGAGGTTGTTGTTTTGAAGGACATCACTAAAATCAGGCATTTTTCTAGTCTCCACGTGTATTGATTGATGAAAAGTCAGTAGTTCTTCATTTTGTTGAGTAACAGGCGGCACTACAGACCATATAATCTTCACATTTCTAAACACCAGGTTTTACTAAGAGCCCTAAACAGCCTAGATCTATCACTTAAACCATACTCTTGCCAACACCCTCAAAATTCCTTGTTCCCTTTTCCTTCAGTTATACTCCCTGCCCTTGGCTGAACTCTAACCCAGGACCAGTTAAACTGTCCATGCTACCTCTGCATGTTGAACGTTGGTGCAGAGGGCCCCCAAACGTGTAATTTGGGGCACCTGTGAACTCATGTTAGGCTCTTTGCACAGTCCTGGACCAACATAGTGAGTTCCTTCTCTAATTTTCCTTAAAAGTTATTTCAGACTTCACAAACCCTATCTCATTTAGTGAAGTGTTCTATACATACAAATGTCACGTGCAGGGGTTGCACTGTGGCAATAAAATAAAAGGCCTTAAGTTCCACGTCTGGGTTTATGAGACACAGAAGACAACAGCAGGTGTAGAATGGCAAGAAGATACCTAAACAGAACTAATATGAGGGGACTTCAAAAAGTTGGTGGAAAAATGGAATTAAAAGATAAAAGTAAGAAATATAAACTTTAATTCTCAACATAAGCGCCATGAAGTTTATGGCATTTTTGTAAGCAATTATAGCAGCCATATAGTCCATCACTAAAGAACCAAAGGTCTTGGGAATTTAACCATGTCAGTGCAGCCCCCCCCCCTTTTTTTTAAACGTTATTAACGGAAGAAAAATGGGTATACTTTAAAGATTTTTTAGGAAACAAAAAGATGTCAATAGGAGCCAAATCAGGACTGTAAGGTGGATGCCTAATGATTTCCCATAGAAATTCTTGCAAAATTTCCCTTATTTGATGAGAGGAATGAACACAGGAGCATTGTCATGGTGAAGAAGAACTCTCTGGCGAAGCTTTCCGTGGTGTTTTTCTGATAAAGCTTTGACTAACTTTCTCAAAACACTCTCACAATAGACAGCTGTTATTGCTGTTTGGTCCTCCAGAAAGTCAACAAGCAAAATGCCTTGAGCATCCTGAAACACTGTTGCCTTGACCATTGCTCTTGGCTAGTTGGCTTTTACTTTGACTGGACCACTTCCTGCTTTTGGTACTTTGTCTTCAGGATCACACTGGTAAAGCCATGTTTCATCTCCTGTTACAATTCTTCAGGGAAATGCTTACATTTGTTTAGGATTTCCATAGAAAGCTCTGCTCTTGTCTGCAGCTGATCTGGACACAACAGTTTTGGTACCCACTGAGTGGAAAGTTTGCTTGACTTTAATTTTTCAGTCAGAATGGTATAAATGGAACCAACTGAGATGTCTGTGGTATTGGTTATTATTTCTGTTAATCATTGTTCCTCTTCAATTAGGACATGTATAAAATTAATTTTGTCCTCTCAAATTGATGTGGATGGTTTGCTGTTGTGGGCCTCATTTTCAACATTGTTTTGTCTCTTCTTAAAATGAGTTATCCATTTGTAAACTGATTTCTTTGGGGCATTGTCTCCATAAACGTTTTGTAAAGCAACAGTGATTTCACCATTCTTCCACCCAAGCTTCACCATAAATTTGATGTTTGTTCTTGCTTTAATTTTAGCAGAATTCATATTGCTCTGATAGGGGCTCTTTTATTAGTGCCTCACACTAGATTCTGTTCAGACATGTTATAAAAACTTAAGAGTTTATTTTGTTGCAAAAAATATTTTAAATCCACCTACAGTTTTTTTATAATATGCATTTTCCATGAACCTTTTTTTTTTTTTTTCCTTTTTGTCTTTTTTCGTGACCGGCAACGGATTGCAACCCTCAGTGTTGCGCCCGTACCGGACCGGGACCGGCAACGGGATCGCAACCCTCGGCGTTGCTCCCGCACCTCGCTCAGCCAGTGAGCGGCCGGTCTGTATGTGGGATCCGAACCCTCGGCGGGAGCGCCGCCGTGCTTCCCAAGAGGGCCGGCCCCCTTCCATGAACCTTTGAAGACTCCTTGAAAAGCAGATGCAAGAGCATAAAGCCTAAGGTAACCACAGCAACATAACTCCTTTGATATTTCACAGAAGTCCCTGAAAAGGCATGCATTGTACTTTCTCAGAGGGTGAGGGAGACTCTGGTTGTCCTCTGGGAAGTACACAGATCTGATCGTGTCTTTTTTCTGTTTGTAAACCTTTTCTCCATCGTAATATACAGGGAGTGAAGTTCAAACATATGAGGGTACTCCAAAAATTTTGTGGAAAAGTGGAATTAAAAGATAATGCAAATCTTTCCACGGACTTTTTGAAGTATCCTTGTATAAAGTTAGCAGCATGTGATGGTTAATTCTAGGTGTCAACTTGATTAGATTAAGAAATGCCAAGAAACCTGGTAAAGCTATCTTTTTAGGTGTGTCCATGAAGGTGTTTCCAGAAGAGATTAGCAGGAGAGTCTGAGTGGACTTGGTGGGGAAGATGCATCCCCAATATGGCTGGAAACCATTCAATCTGCTGGGGACCCAGAGAGAACAAAAAACGGAAAAAAGGAAAATCATTCTCTCTCTATATGCTGGAGCTAGGATACACTCTTCTCTCCTGTCCGTGGACATCGGAGCATGAGACTTCAGCTTTTGGGTTCCAATATTTACATGAAGGACACCATTAGCTTCTCTGGTTCTGAGGCTTTGGACTTGGGCTTAGCCATGCTACCAATATCCAGTTTGCAGACAGCCTATCGAGGGACTTCTCTTCACAATCGCATGAGCTAATTCTCCTAATAAATCTCTCATATTTATATCATATCCTATCAATTCTGTCTAGAGAGCCCTGACTAATACACAGTATAATCATAAAATTTTGACTTAGGATGCCAGAATTCTGCGCTGGGAGAGAAAACTCAGTTTCTTGAAGGAGAAGAAAAAAAGAATCAGTGACATTTTATAATCTAGGCACATAAGCCTGGTAATCCAAGGCAGAAAGTTCTGGTAGAATTGAATAAGCATATGACCAAGGCTCAAAGCATAGGCAGGGCCTCTTTCTCTCCCTAATCCGAACTCTTATCACTAGCCAGTGTCCAGAGACTGAAGGAAAGGAAGTATGTGGTACATAATTGAGGTTAAAAGGGAGAGGAAGGCAGCCCATCCCTGTGGCAGCTTACTACAGGAGATGAGAAGCAGAATAGAATGTTGGTAAGGTGGCCAGACCTACTTGGGCCCAGGAGTTTTGACCTAGTTTTTTTCTCTGAGTGTAGAACCAGAGAGTAAGCCACAGCCATATGTGGAACTTTTAATACATTGTGACCCTGCATGTGAGGAAACAAGGCTCATGGGTGCCTGGAAATGTGACTCAAGGATGAAAATTCTCTTCTACTGGGGAGGAGCCTCCTTTCCTCTATACTTAAAATGACATTCCCACCCTTCAATAATTTGGTGCCCAGTCAATGTTTCCAGTCTTCTCTCTCACCTGTCTCCCCGTTGTATCCAAGAACTTGTCAAAATGCACTAAACAAGCTGGACTTATCTACATTTCTTTTGCTCACACTATCTTCTCATTCTGGAATTTCCTTCTCATTCATCTGGTGAACTTTGAAATCCAGCTCAAGAATTATTTTCTCTTAAAAGACTTCTTTTATTTTCTGAGGCAGAATTAGTTTTTTCTTTGTCATGATATTATTTCTGTATCTGGCTCCCCCACTAAACTGAACTTTATGAGGACAAGGACCATGTATTTTTTATCATCATTGTGCCTCTGGTACTTAGTGTGCCTGGCATTTAGTAGACATTAAAAGTAAACTTTTTGAAAAAAACTTAATGAGTGAATAAGTGCAGGAAGGTAAGGGATATGGGGGCTGCCTTGCCAATATGTGTCTATTTGAATACCTTATGAGATCTCTTTAGAGAAGCAAGGCTACTGAGACAAAGGAGCCAAGCACAAAGCCAGTAAATGTTGCGTGAGTAGGGACTACACCTAAATGGCTGTTTATCTCAAAGCACTGAAAGCTAAGTTAAAGGGAATGCTGTGTGCTTACTGGTTAATTAGTGGTATAGTCTGCTGGGGCTGCCATAAAAAGTACCACATCTGGGTGCTTAAACAACAGAAATGTATTGTTTCACAATTCTGGAGACTAGATGTCTGAAATCAAGGTTGGTTTTTGTTATTTCTGTCAGAGCTGGTTATACGAATTGGGTCATTCTTGACATACCCATGGCACCTGCTTCAAGAATTTTTGCAAGCCCAGCTGCTGAAACAGCTTGCTCTTACTCTAAGGCCAGTTTTACCTTATGGCTGCTGAAATGGCTGGCCATGACTCTTAAGACTATTTTTACCTACAGCTGTCCCTCACCTACAGATCTTGCCAACTCTGAAAAACTTCAATAGTGCCAATGAGTTTTCTTTCAAAACAATGTAGCATTTCTGTAATAAAACTCCCAATCCTTTCTTTGTTCTTTGAATTTTCTGGAGACCATCCCAGCCTGTGTGCATGCCCCAAATTGCAATTTTGTTTTTCCCAAATGTTTTCTTTAGAGATTGGTCTCTGTATATTTTGAGTTTGACACTTCCAAGGGCTGTTAGGGAAGGATGTCCTAGGCCTCTCTCTTTGGCTTGTAGGTGATGTTGTCTCTGGGTCTTCACATGGCATTCCTTCTGTATTTATCTGTTTATGTCCAAGATTTCCCTTTTTATAAGGATACCAGTCATTTTGGGTTAGGACCCACCCTAATCTCAACTAATTAAATCTACAACAATGCTATTTCCAAATAAAGTTACATTCTGAGGTACTGAGAGTTAGGACTTCAACATATGAATTTTGGGGGGGTGACAATTCAATCCCTAACAGGTTCACTGAGGGTGAATTTGGTGAGTACCCTTGTATAGAATTAGCTTTAATATTTTCTGCTAGTTTGTTACTGGAGTATAAAAATGGCACTGATTTTTGGGTGCTGATTTTGTGTCCTGCAACATTACTGAAATTGTTAATCAGCTGTAAGAATTTTTTGGTAGAGTCTATAGGTTTTTCTATATATAAGATCATTTCATCTGCAGACAAGGACAGTTTGACTTTGTCCTCTCCAACCTGGATTCTTCTTATTTTTTTCTCTTGACTGATTGCTCTGGCTAGTACCTCCAGTACTGTGTTAAATAGGAGTGGTGAGAGTGGGTATCCTTGTCTTGTTCCTGTTCTTACGGGAAAAGCTTTTAGCTTTTCCCCATTCAGGATGATATTGGTGATTGATTTGTCATAAATGGCTTTTATTGTATTGAGATAATTTCCAGCTATACAGTAAAAAAACCAAATAATCCAATTAAAAAATTGGCAAAGGAAATGAATAGACATTTTTCAAAGGAAGACATACAAACGGCCAACAAGTACATGAAAAAATGCTCAGCATCACTAGCCATCAGAGAAACACAAATCAAAACCACATTGAGACATCACTTCACCCCAGATAGACTGGCCATTATTAAAAAGACTGAGAATAACAAGTGCTGGAGAGGATGTGGAGAAAGGGGAACTCTTCTATACTCTTGGTGGAACTGTAAATTAACACAGCCATTATGGAAAATAGTATGGAGTTTCCTCAAACAACTACAGATACAACTACCATATGATCCAGCAATCCCAGTACTGGATATCTATCCAAAGGAATGGAAATCATGATGTCAAGAGGATACTTGCACTCCAATGTTCATTGCAGCTCTTTGTGTTCATCAACAGACAACTGGATAAGGAAAATGTGGTATTTATACACAATGGAATACTAAGCCATAAAAAAGAATGAAATTCTTCCATTTGCAGCAACATGGATGAGTCTGGAGAAAATTATGTTAAGTGAAATAAGCCAGATAAAGAAAGAGAAATACTGCATGTTCTCACTTATAACTGGCTGCTGGGTAAGGAATGAAGGAAAGAAAGAAAGAAAAAAGACCACAACAATACATTGAACTTTCAGAAGGAGAGAACAAACCTAAGGATACCAGAGATAAGGGGGAGGGAGGGAAAGGGTTTGGGAAGTGATAGGTCAGGTAAAGGGCATAAGGAAATATGATTTGTAAGAATGAATATGCTAATAATAAATAATAAAAATTAAATATTTAGCCAGTTAAAAAAAAAGAATTAGCTTTAATAATTTATCGTAAGAACTTTGCAAATGCCATGGAGTATTTTACTAAAGCAAACAAGTAATAAAGGCAATTTTTCAGAAATTCCTTCTACCTTTTACCTTTTATTTTATTTTGAATCTGTAAAATGTTTTCAGAATGAGTACAGTGTTTATGTAACCACTGACTGTGAGAGTATTTACGTCCTGGGTAATATTGGGAAATACACTTATCTGGTCCTGTATTTTCTTATCTGTAAAATGAGAGGATTAAACTCAATAGTCTCCATCTCAAAAATCTCTGAAAGCTTACAGTTCTTTGAAGTCCTTTCTTTACGGATCAATGGGGGAGCTTAGACAAACATTTTAAAATGTGTGAAGAATGTTTGCTACATAAGATGTTAATAATTTAATGCAGAACAAACAATATATGGCTGGAGACAAGACATATGAGAGAAATCACCTTCAGGCTTCTATTTCTACTACCCCCATGATTCTATCTTCCTTTTCTAAGTGCGCAGGAAATTTTCCTAGTCTGTTATTAATCACTGACTTGTCCTTCTTTTCATCGTTTGGTTTTTCTCATATACATACAATGTAAGCTGTCCTCCTCAGTGCCTGGAAGCAGTGCCAGCCCTATAGTAGATGTCCAATAAATATTTAATGAAAGAATGAATGGAGGCAAGAGGTGACATGGTGTTGCGAACTGTGTGTAGTTTGGGCACCCTTGTGAGTAGATGTGAGGAAACAAGATCCTTTCACTGTCAAGGCATCTATATTGGCTAGGGAAGCATGTGTTCACGGGTGCATGTGTGCACACTATGCCAACCCAGAGTGATAAATGGGTTTATGCACGCTTGTGGATGATAAGGGTGGTTTTAGAATTTCCCTTAGTTAAGAATCATGACGCAACAGTCCAAAAGTAGCATCATCTCTGAAAGCCATGTGGTCCCACACTGCTCTCAAATTTCTGCTCTTTTTATGCTCTAAGTAGACTGTGGCCGTCTGATAGAATAACCAGCCACTGTAGCTTTCTGTAGTAACTAACCCAGGGCTTTCTAGAAGGGAGTGGGAGGGGAAGCTCGAAGAGGTCATTCGAGGACTCAAAGTGTGACCAGACTGGCCCTAACTGCGTAGTGTGGCTTCAGGCTGAGCAGGCATAAAAATCAAAACCCCCGTCCCCCCATCCGACCGCTCCAAGGTATTCCTAGCTATTGGAACTCTAGGTATCCTAGGTAACCAAAAGATTCAGATGGTGAGAGACGCTTCCGAGGGTGGGGAGAGCTCCCAACGGAGGGTGGAGCTCCTCAGGTCGGGATTGGCCAAAGCCTGAGCGCAGGAGCACGGAGGAGGGCGCGCCAGCCCGCTCTGCGCAGCCGCGGGGAGGCCCCGCCCACCGGGAAGGCCCCGCCCACGAAATAAGCCAGATAAAGAAAGAGAAATACTGCATGTTCTCACTTATAACTGGCTGCTGGGTAAGGAATGAAGGAAAGAAAGAAAGAAAAAAGACCACAACAATACATTGAACTTTCAGAAGGAGAGAACAAACCTAAGGATACCAGAGATAAGGGGGAGGGTGGCCCCACAGCTGGCCGGAGTGCGCGGACGGTGGGTGGAAGAGGATGAGCGCCGCAGCGCGCAGCGGTCGCCGCCGGGCGCGAGTGTCCCGCCTGGTGTCCTTCAGCGCGAGCCACCGGCTGTACAGGTGGGTTGTGTCCACGGGGGCCAATGGGGCGGGCCGGGGAACGTCACGGGGGGAGGGGCTGGGGGCGTGCTTACGTGCGCGCGCTGGAGCCCTGCGACGGGGACGCGTGATGGTTGGGCCACGTTGCGGCCCCGGGCAGCCCGCAACAAGAACGGTAGTGACTGCCGGAGGTGACCGAGCTCGAGAGAAGGAGGTGGAGCGTGGTGGTTAACAAGCCGTCTGCGGAGGAAGACGGGCCGGATTGGGAACCCAGAGGCTGCAGTCCAGCTCTGTGCCCCGAAATAATGTCTTTGTCCCCCAAAGTCCCTTAGTATAGCTCACAAGGTTGCTGTGAAGTTCAACGAGTTGAACTCGCCCAGGTTACACAGTACCCGGCACGTCGTAAACACTCGATAAACGTTAGCTAATGTTACATGCCGGGAGCATTAGTGACCGTACCTCATATAATAAGGCAAATTTTGTACCTTTTTACTGAAGATAAAATGAGCCAGATGTTCAGTCTCCTAAGCAAGCAGCACGGTTGGAATTTGAACCCCAGCACTAAGACTGCTTCACTGTGCTTGAGTGGATTTTGTGAGTTTTACCACTCACCAGCAAGCTCCACTTTCTTTTTTTTTTTTTTTTTTCTAAAAGATGACCAGCAAGGGGATCTTAACCCTTGACTTGGTGTTGTCAGCACCACATTCACCCAGTGAACTAACCGGCCATCCCGATATGGGATCTGAACCCGGGGCCTTGGTGTTATCAGCACCGCACTCTCCGGAGTGAGCCACAGGCCGGCCCCAAGCTCCACTTTCAGAAACCCCGTTTCCTCATTGGAAAATGAGAATAGTCATTTCTCTCTGACAGTGTTCATCCTTTTATTCGGTGGCTTAACTGATTTCGTGCTAGGCAACAGGGATCAGCACACCGTGGTCACTGCCTCTTGTCTTGAATTTACAATCTGGCCAGTTATAGTGAGAGAGTTTTGCGCAAAAGCTTTGTGAACGTCAGTGCTCTAGAAGTGAGAAGTGAGCAGGACAAGTGGAGGGAATAATAAAGAAGACCTCAAAAAGAAAGAGGAGTGTAATAGGAATCTCAAACATATGAGGGTGGTAAGGCCCCATAGAAGGTGCAAAGTTGATTGGGCAGGTAGAGGTACAAAAATTCATTAAATTGTTCTCTGTCTGGAACAACAGCTAAGTATTATAATTTAAAAATTACACTTAATTTGAATATCCCTAACTGGACTGGTAGAGTTATCATCAGGCAATCGGTGAGGCATGGTAAAGCAAGGTTGTTCAAGAGGAGACTTACTAGGTCATTTCAAGAGAAATGAGGTTTTAAGCTGCTTGAAGACAAGCATCTTTTTGTGGTTTTCATTACATGCTCTTGCTTCATTCAGCACATGCCTAACACACAGTTGCTACTCAGTAAATGTTTGTGGAATTGAACAATAGAAGGACCATGAGCAAGTCACTTCTTGAAATCTTGCTGTGGAACAAGGGGATTGGATTTAAGGTTTGTTTATGCTAATTTGTATGGTATAGTAGTCTAATTAAGAAGCATGTATACACTGGTTTCTGATGTATAGCTGAGTAATGAAATCAGAGCGATTTATGACTCTCCATTTGGTCAGCTAAAGAACTTTTTAAAGACCAAAGCAAATAATATATGTAGGGAGAAGAGAAGAGGTTTGAAAGTGATACTTGTGTAATGCTGGCTTTTTTTTTCTGTCAGCAAATCTCTGAGTAATGAAGAAAACTTGAAACTGTTTGGGAAATGCAGCAATCCAAATGGCCATGGGCACAACTATAAAGGTAGGAGAAAAACTGCTGAAATTTTATCCCTTCAATAAGGGTGTAAGGGTGTTCTGCAAATACAGGCATAATAAGTAAGAAACTTACAGACAGAATGCTTTGAGCCTTGAATGAGAAGTTAAATGGAAGTTCAAAACAAAAACATCTGTTGTGTTGGTCGGATGTGCCTTAAGTGTTATCTCTCAGTTGTCTGCTCTGTTATGGATAGTCCAAAGTGATGAATGGTTTAAAGAATTTTTTTCCTTGATCTTAGAGTGCATAGAGATTTTCTGGACAGCATGTTTCCTTCTGATTAGGTACAGCTGAGGCTACTGTTAAAATTAGATTGTATTCTTTGAGTAAATAATGAATGACAATAGGGGAATATTGCCTAGGAATGTACTGTAAAGCAGGAAAATAGGTTGGGTCTAAAACTTTGCCAACATTGTTCCAAGAAAGTAATATGTGCAAGGATAAGAGACTTGATTCTTTGAGATACAGCTGATGCCTCAAAAAACAGCTACGAAAGCCACAGTGTGGTGGCGTAAAAAAGGACAAGGTGTCAGACAATCAGGATTTCTAGCTTAGTTACTGCCTCGTACATGATCTATGATCTCTCTCAATCTCAGTGTACTCATTTCTCATGTAATACCTAATGATGTTTGTATATAGCTGAAAAAAAATTTATAAATGTTATTAATTTGTAAAGTACTGATCATCAGGATTTTTCGAATGCTTCCTACAAGCACTTGTTAATTTACAAAGCATTTTGTAAACCTTGTACATTTGTGTGAGTAAAAGGATAAGAGTTTAAAGCCTAGTAGTAGTTTTGCTTGTTCAGGAAGGCACTGCCCAGAATTGGACCAGTTCAGTGTATAGCTGGACATCTGAATGTACATTTTCCACTTTTACAGGCAGAGGTTGAGCACCATCTCCATCCTTCCTAGTGCATCAACATTATAAGCAGATTTATACCTTTGTGGCCTTAACTAAGGACTTCTGCTTAGCAAAGCTCCTACTAAGATCGTCTGTCTTGGTTGAGTCTTGCTTGCTTGATAAAAAAAAAATCTTAACTAAAAGAACAAATGTTTTGAGGAAAATATAAGTATAGTTTTGGGGGACAGAGATCTAATATTTAATTTATGTTGCTACTTGTGCTTGGATGTTAAACTGTTGAAAGTCATGCTGTGTTTTTGGTATTTTGTTTTTTTCCCCATAGTTGTGGTGACACTATATGGAGAGGTACGTGCTAAAAAATATTTGTGGTTTGTGCAGATTGATGGGCCCTCTTTCAGCCATCGTGATGGATTTTGTGTTGAAAACTTCTGTTCCAATCAGTATTGCTTCATTGTTTGCCTGTGTGTGTGGTGAGCAGCTGCCATTCCAGGCCTCTCTTCTCCCAAAGTGTTGTCTTTAATGTGCTGTGTGCAGACAGGTAGAAGAGCTGTACAATGAAAAGGATTCCTGAAGCACATGGTGCTTCCATGCTGAGATTAATGATTGTCTCTGCAAATGTGGGCACAATCTCTGCACGTTGTATAGCCTTTAATAATTTGCCAATGGTTTAAACATGGAGAGCCTATTAGAGTAATACTTACCTTTATTTATTCTTTAGATTGATCCTGTTACAGGAATGGTTATGAATTTGACTGACCTCAAAAAACATTTGGAGGTAATGTCATGTTGGGTGCTTATTATGTGCTGTCCCCTAAGTATAATATTTGGCAGCCCCTTTCTACTGCCCTAACAAGTTATCTCCTGTGGTACCATGACTCTGTGAGTGGAATTGGGTGTGGGAGTGGCAGAGGAGTTGGAGAAACTTTTCCCAGCCTTCTAAAGGTATTTGGATGACTTAATGGAAATTAGTCACAGTTGTGTCACAGTGATGGGAAGAAATGTAGCATGCTTACCTGTATTCCTTGCTGGAATATCCTGATTTCCTCCATTTAACAAATTCTGCCCTTCCTTCAAGACGCAGCTTTCTCCTCTAAGCTTTCTGTTCCTCTTCTGAATATTCCTTGTACCTTTGCTCACTCTGGCTCTATTTTAAACTCACTAGGGCAGTTCATCATAGAGATAACTCACAAGAAGGTGCTCAGTGAAGAGCTTACTGATTATGTCATTCTAGAATTCTTGCATTGTAAGAGACTTTAGAGATTACCCAAACCAACTTCATCCCTAGGATTAAGATTGAGAAATGCTGAACAATTAACTGACTTGCCCCAGGTTATATGGTAAGTCATTTGCAAAGCTGGGAGTGGTTTTCCTTCCATTCGGCTGTTCTTATTATTCTGTCATTTCACCTGTTTATTTAGTTCATTTCAGCTCTGCAATTTACTTTGTTCTGAAATTTGACATTTGTTTCATAAAAATTATGTTAATAATCATTACTTCCTTCACATTTCTTCTTATCTATGTGTTCAACAAATTTGCCTACTTTGCCTCAGTTTTTGAGCTAAGTACTGGTAATACAAAGGTGAATGAGACATAGCTCACAGAGTATGTACTTACTTTTTCTAGGAGCTTAAGAAATAATTTAAGTGCTCAATAACTTGGTTGAATAAATAAGAGAACAAGTGAACAAATAGCACCGTGCTCAGAGTACTTCAGAAAAGTTGTAAAGACAGAGTTCCCACATTTACTGAGGATGTAAAATGTATACCCCAAAGTGTTGTACAAGACAAGACAGCAATATGAGAGGTCTCAAGCAAACATATGATTAAATACTAGAGGAGGGGTTCTCTATGGTTTTTTCTGCTTTTGTGTACCTGAAGAATACCACACGCTCCCATCAGTAAAAGTGGCTCATCATAGCATATGAAGTGAAGTTATAGCCCTGCAGAAAAGGCTTTAGTGTAGAAGTTGGGACTGAAACTGGGAATGAAGATAAAGATATTTATTTTCTTGATATACTGGTGGAACTTCCCTTCATTTGATTTACTTCAAAAGCTGTCTGATTTAGGAATTACTCTTTTTATGATTCTAGCTTTACTCAAGAAATGATTGCTATTATTGTTATTAATGTACCCTTTTTGAAACCATGCCATATAGAAAATTAGATTGTTTTATAAATGCTTAGATTTTGTATAATATCTAAGAGTAAAAACCTCCAAAGAATAAGGCAATTAAATCCTTGCTAATGACAAGGGAAAACATTATGTTAATATATATAAGCATTGGTGAGTAATAGTCTTTGCATGTTGGTCTTTTTTTCTTCTAAGAACCCAAGCCCATTCTTAAATTAGTCCTCATAGCAGAAATTTAGAATTATTTACATAATTTCAGTCTAGGTCTGCTTTATAAAATGTAATGCTCACTAGATCTTTGTCCTAATGATACTGTGGCATTGTTCCATAGGTGAGACTGTTATGGAAAGGTGTTCTGATAACTTTTTGGACAGAATTCAAGAAGTATTAAACTGAATTCTGAATCACAATGGCTTGTGTTACAAGAAAGCTCCAGGAATTCTTTACTTTTTGGTTTCTTGCCTCTTTGCATTCAGTAACAATGATAGCTAATCATTACAGAGAGCTGGGCCTGACTTTATTTTACAACTTTAAACTTTGTTAGATTGCTTTGAAAGACACAGGTATAGAACTTACAAGTATTGAGTTAGTGGCTAAATGATAAAGTTTAGAGGCACAGGTGGAACACATTGGAATTTGAGTCAAAAATGGAGTCAATGATTTTTTCCTTTGTTTTGTCTCTAGGAGGCAATTATGAAGCCCCTGGATCATAAGAATCTGGATGCAGATGTGCCATACTTTGCAGATGTTGTAAGGTGGGTGTCACTATTTGCCTTAGACAGACGGTAAGAAAGAATTGATTTTAACATTTTATCTGATTGCTGTTGATTTCTAAAGTTTTAGTTTAATGATGTCTTTCAAAACTAGAATTTCTGTTTTTTGTCAATATTAAATGTGAAATTTTGCTTATTATTTGCATTTTGAACGTTTTTTTCTTTCTTTTTTTCTACAGCACAACAGAAAATGTAGCTGTATATATATGGGAAAACCTTCAGAAACTTCTTCCTATGGGAACTCTTTATAAAGTAAAAGTGTATGAAACTGACAATAATGTGGTAGTCTATAAAGGAGAATAGCTCTTAAAGATTAACGTTGTAGAAAGACTACTTTCTTTCTGTATTTGGAAAAGGTCTTTATCCCCTGGAATGTTAAGGAATCACCATGTAATTGTTGTACCTCCACATTGTGTTCTGGAATGCCTGATTTATTGAAATCATCGTAAGACCTGTTATACATTTAAATCTATTTTTATCATTTAGAGAGTTTTATTTATAGATTAAAAATCACTTTATTTTCCACAAAACGTTTTGGTGTGGAATTATTTGAAAGCAAAAGAAATCTATTTTTATTGTTTTCTCTGTTATCTCATTCTTACTATTCATTTTTTCTTGTTATAATATAAATGGTAAAAACATGTGACTTACAGTAGGCGAATCTTATAAAGAATAAAATTCAGATGACCACAAAGTCTGGAGACAATGTATGTATTTTTTAATAGTTTGAACTCCCTTGATTACTTCTTTTTTGGGATCTAAAAGCACCAATTTTGGTCAATAAAAAGCAGACACACAAATCATCTTAGGGCAGTGCATTGCAGATGCATGTACAAAGTGATGGAAATGCTGATTTTGTGCACATTGTTCATTGCAATTTTGCACAGCTTATTGAACTATAAAGTGCTAGTAAGGAACAACACATTGAACATATCACAGAATATCAGTAAATTATTATGTGTATGTCAACATAAAAAGGATCTACTACTCTGTAAAGCATTTCCTGTATACAGTTTTTCCTAATTGATCCCATTTTGATCTGATCAAAAACTTACCTGCTTAAGTTGAACTATATTCTTGGCATTCATTGCTGGTATCTTTTCCTCACGTCTAAATCCACGAGAATGGATTTGCTTGCTTCGTACAAAGAACTGTTCTCTCTTGTGTTCTCATTTGTATTCTAAACTACTTAAATACAGGGTTTTCTTTTTCTTTCCATGTAGCATCTGGTATACCGTGGATTCTCAGAATGTTACTGCCTGAAAATAGCAAAGGCACTTATGCAGTGATTACTATTCTAGAAGAATTTGCAAAGGAGTTTCATTTTGGAGAGTTAGTAACTGCAGGAATTTTATTATACATTTTGACAGTAATGCAATGCCCTTAATTAAATTTGAATTGTGTTTTAGTTATTAAACACAATTTTTATTTATAAAGAATATTTTGTATTGATTACTTGAAAGGCAGGATAACTGTCATTCATTAAGGTACTTTATGGTTTTTTTTTTTTTTGGTGATTTTCTTTATTGTCTAGCATTTCATCACAAGAATATACATTTATTTATGCATTCTACTGTTTTTTTTTTATAAAATTTTTTTTCCCTTGAGCTTTTTTTTAAAATTTTTTTTTTATTTTGTCAATATACAATGTGGTTGATTATTATGACGCATCACTGAAACCTCCCTCCCTCCTCCCTCTCCCCCCTCCCACCCAAGAATGTCCTTTCCGTTTGCTTGTTGTAACACCTTCAAAGAAATTGTAGTTGTTATATCTTCTTCCCCCCTCCCCCCGGTTTGTGTGTGTGTGTGTGTGTGTGAGTGAATTTATTTGTGTATTTTTAGCTCCCACCAATAAGTGAGAACATGTGGTATTTCTTTTTCTCTGCCTGACTCGTTTCACTTAATATTATTCTCCCAAGGTCCCTCCATGTTGTTGCAAATGGCAGTATTTCATTCGTTTTTATAGCTGAGTAGTATTCCATTGTGTAGGTAAACTACATTTTCCGTATCCACTCATCTGATGATGGACATTTGGGTTGGTTCCAACTCTTGGCTATTGTAAAGAGTGCTGCAATGAACATTGGGGAACAAGGTACTTTATGTTTTAATTCTCAAAAATACCATGCAAGGCCGGTACTATTCCTATTTTACAGATGAGAAAATTAAAATTGAGAGAGTTTAAGCTACTTACTTGATCAGATCACTGAACAAATAAATTGCAAACTGGGTGTTTGACATTCAGGGTCCTTCTGACTCCAAAATAGACCCTGAAAAAGGGACAATATATGTGTATTTCCAGATTTTTTAAAAAATACCAAATTTGCACATCTGATATATTAGAAAAACATTATTTTTTTTAGTAACATTGACAATCCAGATTATTCATGATTTGCTTCAAGAGAACATTTTTTTTTTCTACTTGATCTCCTTAGGAAAGTAAGAATTTTGTCTCTCCATCCGTCTGTCTTTGTATGTACGTATGTATGTATGTATCTATCCTGAGTGGATGAATGAATGATTGGAAGGACCAAAGATAGTATGTAGTTGATTTTAAGTCTCCCTGGATGCTGCTATTCCAGACCATATCAAGCTATATTGTAATTACTGCTTTCCCTATTTATTGTTTTTCCACTACTCTGAATTCCTGTGGGCAAAGTCTTCATTCCAAGCAGATTATCTGGTAAATACTACTGAGGAATTTTTTGTTAATTAAATGAATGGCATATTGGTAGAAACTGTTGAAATTTTATAGTGCCTTTTATATACATAATGGACATTCAGTACATATTTTTAGGATTGAACCTGAATGTGTTGAGGCTTGAATTCTAGTCCCAGTGCTGTTAGAATTTAGTTGAGTCATGTTCATCTCTAGGCTTTAGCTTCTTTATCTGTAAAATGAATCCTTAGACTAATGCTTTCTGAAATTGCTTCTACTTCTTTTATATCTAGATGATTTTAAATACCAAATGAGTAAGTATTATTAATTTAGAGATGGAAAAAAATCATTATGAGGTGGTGAGGTTTGAAAAAGCTTAGTGGAGGAGATAAATCCTGAATGGTACTTAAAATGATGGGATAGGGAGAGTGGTGGTTTTGGAATTCAGGAGAAAAGAGGGAATGAATAACTGAAAGGGTAAAATTTCATTAGCGAGGTTTCTAGGGTGGGAATATACAAAACGTATTTTGGATATAGTGACTAGATTAATCTCAGTAGAGTGACATGTGAGAGCTAAATGGAAAATAAGCTTGGAAATATAGGATGGGGACAGCCTGGAGGGCCTTGAATGTCAGCTCGGTCTTTATCCTTTAAAGAATAGGGAGCTGTTGAAGTGTTTTTTTTTTTTTTTTAAAGAAGATAACCAGCTGGACAAAGGCAAGCAAGGAAAGCAGTTTCAAAGGTATTGCCAGAATCTAACCATGAGGTGATGGGTTCCTGGACCATAGTGGGGCAGTGGAAATAGAGAAAAGGAATTGAGCTAACATTGTGCAATGCCTACTGTGGTGTCAGGCATTTAGCTAAATACTTTTCATATTACCTCTTTTTATCCCCATTTTAACCATCCTCTGCTGAGTGTACTCATATCAGTTATCTACGATTGCATAACAAATTACCCCCAAACAGCACACATTTCTTATCTCAGTTTCCATGAGCCAGAAAGCCAGGTGGCTTAGCAGGGACCTCTGGCTCAGAGGCACTCACAAGACTGCAGTCATCTCAAGGCTTGACCAGGAAGGATCCAGCTCACTCACGTGGTTGGCAGGATTCAGTTCCTTCCTCTGTTTCTTGCCATATGGGCTCCTTCACAGAGCGTCTCCCCACATGACAGCCTGCTGCATCAGCGAGCAAGTGAGTGAGCAGAAAGGAGTGCCAGCAAGATCCAAGCCACAGTTGTTTGTAACTTAATTACTTTCATCTTGCAGGAGTGAAATGTCAGAGCAGCAGTGGTGGTTTACAATGGAAATTATGGGGTTTGTGGGTAGAGAAATACGAAAACCTTGGAAGCACGACTTGAAATTAAAACCAACTCTAATGTGCGAAGTTAAGAAAAAATAACTTAATATCACAGATATCTCTGTGAACATTATGACCAGAGCTCAGCTATCATTTATATTGCTTTACTTGATGTAATAAAGACCAATCAGTTATATAAATGGCCAGAATAGTACCATCAGTCATGTACATGTGGCCACTGATACACTGGACCTATGATAAGTGATCCATTTGGCTTTTTAAAACTTTTAAATTCCTCCTGGGATTGGAATTGTCTTAAAGATGAGAAACAGACTGCTCATTTTGTGCTATGTCTGGGATATTTCTAGCTTCTCTTGCACATAGAAAAATCATTGTTAGTTTCACACAATTTAACTTTATAGCAAGATCCTGCTGCAAGACACTTTTGGAAAATATGCTGGATAAACACTGTTAAAGTCTCCCCATAGCTGCAGAGAGAATTGCTATTACCACAAAAGAAAAGTAGGGGAAGGTGGTTCTTGCACTGGAAGATTTTCAAAGCAGTAGTTCTGCTTTCAAGTAGCTCATCAGTTGGTTTGCTACCTTCAAAACCCCACCCACTCCCACCAGTGTTCTTCAACCATTCAGACAGAAGAATTTTAATTTTAATTTTAATTTTTTATAACTCATACAATTGTTTCTGCACTTATAAGGTAGAGCCATATATTTTCTCTTTAGTTCAAATACTTAAAATGAAGAAACTTACATCATGGTACATATATTTGATTGATAAATACATTGGCTTAGGACACATTAGGTTAGAAGTAGTTATATATGTAAGAGAATACTTATCAGAAAATGAGCCAAAAAATGTTTGGCAGTAATACTGGTTAAATATTAAATTGATATTTCTTACTTTGCTAGTCTGTAAGTTAGATCATGGACTGTTAGCACTTGGGATGATTTATTTATTTTATTGGTTATGAATATTCATGAGATACAAAGCTCAGACAGAAGAATTAATGATTAAAAAAAAGTGAGAATGCTGTTCTCCTCCCCGCTGCCCTTTTTTGGTAGTCGTTGGCTAAAGAAACAACATTCCAAGCTTGTATTCCTAAAGATGCCCAAGAAACAAGTCCTCAGTACTTAAGCCCAAGTTCATCCTCATCCTGCCTGTTTATTATTCAGTGAAAATTTCTGATTCAGTATGATAATAAGTCTGAACCAAGTTTTCTTTTTTTTAAAAAAATTTTCTTAAATATTCACTTTTTATTAAAAGGAAGTAAAGACTCTAGTCAAGATGATTCAGTGAATTTACCCTTCAATACACTCTCCTCCACTCTAAACACAAAACAACTAAAAATAAAATATAAAAAAGAAAAATATTTAAAAGGCTGAAGCAAGTTTTCAAACCCTTTTCACTTGCAACAAATATCTTAATAGATATAATCACTGTGGCTGGGAACAACCCGAAGAAATAGAAAGTTTAGTGTTGTCCTTGTTAAAATTATTTAATAACAGATAGAACTAAAGATAGGTGTCTTGTGGGCATCTCAAACTTAACATTTCCAAACATGTATTTCTGATTTCTCCTTCAAAACCTGTTTCGTGGGCCAGCCTGTGGCTCACTCGGGAGAGTGTGGTGCTGATAACACCAAGGCCCCGGGTTCGGATCCCATACAGGGATGGCCGGTTCGCTCACTGGGAGAGCGTGGTGCTGACAACACCAAGTCAAGTGTTAA